GTATAAAAATACAACTGCGTGAAACACACAGGAGTATAAAAATACAACTGCGTGAAACACACAGTAGTATAAAACTTCAACTGCGTGAAACACACAGTAGTATGAAACTTCAACTGCGTGAAATACACAGCAGTATGAAAATTCGGCTGCGTGAAACACACAAACTTCACGCATGCGTGGATTGTATGGAGTGTATGGGAGTGATTCACGTAATGGTGCGAAGGGTCACGGCCATTGGTAATTCAGAATTTCGTGGAAAAATGAGAGAGAACTGTAAATTTGGCTGCATTTTTCCTTGAAAATGAATAGGAAGCCAGAAAATTCCGGTAAATATATTCTTGAATTTTCGGGACAGTGACACTGAGTGCGATTTAGGGGGAAAAATCATGAAATTTCAGATTTCCTCAGCTTCCCCTCGGCCTGCATTTCTCACACTCGTCATAAAAGTTTTTTTCTGTCTTGTGACGAAAGTGGCTACATATTTTGTTATGAAGACCAGACAGGGATTTACGGACGCGCAGCGGCCACTGGTCATGTCCAAAAAAAAATTGCAAAATCTAAAAACAACTCTCCAAATTCGGAACTCATCCTCAATACTCCATCCATTCTTCCATTCTTCATTCATCCGTCGTGATACTCAAAGTGCAACAATTCTAATAGTACACTTCATTCTCAAGTAGTTATTACTCGCTAGAAATTAATATTCAAGTGGGAAGAGATTGACAAATTCCCGCCATACTCCTGGCATTCCAACTTTCTAATAGTTATGTAATGTTTAATATTTCATACGATGGGCACTCGAGGTGNGGGGGGGGGGGGGGGGGGGGGGGGGGGGGGGGGGGGGGGGGGGGGGGGTAAGGGTCTCTCTTAATTCTCTCTGTCGCGTGCTTCTTTCCCGGAGTTTAAATAATGCAGTTGAATTTTTTTTCAGCACTCGGAATTGTCTGCAAATGAGAGAGCACTTTGAGTCTCTCCTCGGTGCATTGCCCCCTTCTACTCCTGAAAATGTTTTCATAGAGCAAATCGAGACACATTAAGGATTATTGCAGCCATTAAATGAACATTGATTAATACCGAGGCATTAGTGAGGCGATTATTGGATATGGAAAATTATGTGTCTCTACCGCATATTCTGTGTGTACCCTCCTTTCGACGTTTGTTTCGGGGGAATTCGATTGGGTCATGATTAATGATGACACTTTTGCACTGAAATTGGGCCGAAACATTCTGGAGGAATGTGGGCGATGTTGTTTTGGCGCCGAATGCTCGGAATATTTGCAGGTGTGGGAGGGGGCGAGTTTTATTCGCGGATCTGTCATGTTCTAGCGAATGTATTGATGAGCATTTTGCGGAGTTATTGACGTTTTGATGGAGTCTGTCTGGAGTATTTTATACTTATTGCTGTCGCGAGTGTTATTGATCATGAGGGATGGCGATAAATATTCAGAATGGAGGAGTGGACCTTTTCATTCTGGAAATTTAAGGGAAATATTTATTCCGTTTATCTAACTGAAAAAATTTCGGAAAAATGATCAAATATTCTGATAAATGCTGACGTTTAAAATAATATAAATTTGAGAGCTCAACAATTATGATTCATGACAATTATGACATGTTCATTATGACATGGAAAAAAAGTGCCCGAAAATCTAGTGACACTCAGGATGAAAAAGTCCATTGAGGAAACGTTTGGATATTTAGAGGGCGCACGACAACAGCTTGAGTCACCAGTAAAATTCCTATTGATCATCGGTCCATATTCGACATAACGATCTCACAAAATTCAATCCCAAATCGAATTAAAATAAGTCAATACAAATTTTTCCTTGAATTATTTGTTCAGGAGGAGCAAAGTGGGAAGGATAGATCAGCGGGTAACACAAACTACAATTCATATCCCGACGACCTCTACCTTGACGATCAGGCCTTGGAAGGCTCTGGACGAGGTGGTGGTGAAGTGAGAGACGACCTCGAGGCATCAGGCAGTGGCCTAGGCCCCGACGACGAGGACGGCGACGGCGATCGAGGTAAAATCCCCTCCCAATACCCAAAACCACCCTCGACCCCTGGAAAAAAATGATATAAAACAAATCCAACCAATGTCCATCCCTCGCAAATGGTTCATCCCCATATATAACCCGACGTGTCGTATCAATTTCCCGGGGTACAACGTCCAAGCGGAAATTTTTGTCCCCCTAAAAAAAATTGAAATATAAATCGCATGTGTCACCACGGCCTAGTTCACGATATATTCGTAAATTTCTGAGTCCCAGTTATCGGAAATGCATTTTCATTCACCCACACAGTCGTGTCGTTTTGTATCGTCAATATTCCCACATATCGTCGGGTTATATCGGTGGAAGGCATAGAATTGGTAATGCCCAATGACGATGAAGCGTCATGCCGTGGGCTTGATGGACGTTACGCCCGGACCTCCGTACACGGAAGCGTCACAAATTGCACGGTTATTGCACTTTACCAATACCGCTTCACCAGGCTTCTGCATTAGCTTATCTGAACGTTAATTACATGCGTTTCCAGCTGCGGAAATTAATGCTGTAATGTGATAAATTATTTTAGGGAATGATTGATGGATTTTACGGGTTTTATGAGGGGCTTCGAGACAGCAAAACATTTGTTGAATGAGAATATGATCTACTGACGTTGGTGGCAGAGTGGGCTAGACGCGAGTCCACACGCTGACAGGAAAAAATAGGAAATTCACGTGAACTGTTGAAACTTTCCTATTTTATGTTTTTCGATGCACGGAGAGAAATATTCAATAAAAATTACATATCTTTCCCGTAATTCCAGAGCGAAATCCGTTTTACCCCGCCATTTCGATGGATATGAAAAAATGTTTCAAGCAAGCAATATTCCTAGGAATCTAACGAACAAATTGGGAGAAAAAAATTTCCTAACAGAATGAGATTTTCTTATTCCGAAAGAATTTTTGAGCACTCTCAGTGCAGAGTGAATTTTGATTGTTGAGAATCGGTCAACTTTTGCGGAAGATATGAGTGGGCAATAATTGGGCGCTAATGTCACCTCTAACATTAATCTGTAAGCGATTAATTTTTTGGAAACGTTCATTAACTGATTTGCGTTGGTTCTATTTCAGATTTCAATAACATTAACAGTAGGATATTGCCCGAGCAGAAACCAGCCGAGCCAAATACACCCTACGTCGAGGATCCCCACAATACCAAGCACGTAACAGAGGTAATAAAGATTTAATTCAAAATTCCGAATTATCTCTTCTCCGTTAATAAATTAAAAAACTCTCCATTAATAAATTGAAAAATATTTTTCATCGCAGGATCTTGCCCCGAAGAGACCGGATAACGAAGTAGACCTCGCCCCTGGTCGCGAGGACGAGCCAGAGGGAGAGGAGGACCCTGACGACTCGCACGAGGTGTTAATCATGAATCCCAAGCACGAGGATCGCGCGAGCTCGTTCTTCGCGCAGCCGGGCGTTCTAGCCGGTAATTATCGTCTCCGTAATCCCTGAATGAAGGACTTATCAAACCCAATTGATAAAAACGTAACGTGAAGGGGTGACAAGATCTGGTGAAATTAAATCTTATTAATTTCATATTCAAATAGAGACAAAAATCGAAATTTCACCCCTGCATTGTCGAACAAATACCTAGATAATAGTAGACAATTGAAAATTTTTATTCAGTAAAATTTTAAAAGATCTCGCGATTGGAAATTTGAACACTTGATGAAAAAATCCGTAGAAAATGGACATTTCAGTGCAATTATTTTACAAAAATCACTGTAAGTCCGGAAAATTCAAGTGAAATTGGGTTTTAAATATTTATGTTTCAATCGCAAAATCCAGTAATTGTAAAATCCAGATAATTACTTCTAAACTGGCCTGAGATTTCAATATTTTTCACAACAATTCCTTTCAACAACTAATCCCCCAAATATTTATTTCCAGCTGTCATTGGAGGAGCGGTTGTCGGCCTGCTGTGTGCAATTCTCGTAGTAATGTTCATCGTCTACAGAATGCGTAAGAAGGACGAGGGCTCGTATGCCCTCGACGAGCCAAGAAGATCCCCAGCAGCGGCGTCGTACCCAAAACCCGGTGCGCCACATCACAACCGTGAATTTTACGCTTGAAGGGATTAATTTTAATACTAAAATTATATTTCGGTTCGTGCCAAGCTCGAGGCGATTAAACCGATTATTGACCGAGTCAGGACATGATTAAATTCAAAAAAGAAGTAAATCATTCGATAAGAGAGAAAACTAAAAGCAGGATTTAAAATTGCAGATGGAATTTGAATTTTGCATGGCGTTAGATCGTCGACGGGGGGTGCCTACAGAGCTCCAAATACTCATCTTTACTCGGACGAGGTTTTCTCTCTCTC